ATCATAATTTCTATGAAATAAAATGAGAACCACGCTTGTTGCGTAAACACGGCGACACATCAAACAATACATACCAGTATAAACTGACCTTCAAATGTGTAGAAAGATGATACGAAGCGAGACCAAGTTATAATGGTTGGTTTAGTCCAATGTGTAGCTGTGTACAGAACATTATAAGTCTCTACCAAGGCTGTCTATTGACGACTTCTACGAATATTACGACATTGACATAAACCAGTGGTTGCTAACCTTTTCGACACGCGATCCCTAAAATTTTGTACAACACTCTTTTGTTAATGGTTACTGTGTTCTTACCAGCTAAAAGTAACAGTCGTCATCGTCATAACATCACGCATTTTATCCTCGAAGGGGTAGGCAAAATTGCACATTAAGTATACCACTGTACAATGGAACACCCACTTTTCACTATTTGTGTTATGAGTCCCATGTAATAGGGGGTGAGCCTATTGCCATATACCGGGCACAATTCCAGACTCCGTGCTACTACTGCGAATTTTTTAAAAACCCAGTAATATTTTGCCCGACCCGGGAATCGAGCCCGAGATCCCTTGCCCGGTAGTCACACTTGCAACCACTCGGCCAACGAGGCAGTCAAATATTTTACACATTAAAGGTCATGGGGATCACCGGTGACCCACGTTAGCACAGGATTTGCCTACAACAGTTTTCTATTGGCAGTCAAAGCCTAATCTCAAACATACAACTAAATATATTATCTGTATTTTATACAAAACACTAATAAGTTTGTATATATCCAAAAAATAAAATAAAATAATTGATAACATCTAAAAACCCAGGTAAAAAGTAATTCTGTAATTTAAATTTATCCCATGTTTGTATAGTTTGTAGCTTCAAGTTTGCCCCATTGTGTTTGCTAAGTAGATTTATGGTAATCCGTGGCAACGTCATGAGGAGTGTATTTGTAAAATCTATTATTTTACTCACCCGTGTTATATTTAATATACTGCAGTCTGTTGTCCTTGATAAATTCTTTACCCAGTTATCTATCCCCTTACTTTCAATACTTGTGCGCAAACCACAGTAAAAACCTTCGTTCTTCCCATAACCGTCTTCTCCAATGTCCCACTCATCACACTGACTTCTTTCATTCTTCCTTTTTCGTGCAGGCAATTTTGCTGTGGAATGCGCTCCCCCTGGATGTCAGGATGGTGTCGACACGTTTAACATTTAAGCAGAAAGTACGTGAGCTTCTCTTGAAGAGGTTGGCTGAATCATCACAATAATTATTTACAGAGTATTAGTAATTATGTTCATATTTATATTATATGCTATGAGTCTATGTATGTATGTATGTATGTATGTATGTATATTGCAGTGTACTCGTGTGTAGGTATATATATTATTATTATATTTATTTATGTTCATATTTGAAATATGTTAGTATAATCTTCTATTTTCTCAATTAAATCGTTGCTTGCTTCTTGCTCCTACCATTCACTCTTCTCTGCATCACCCAAAGGTCAGACTGGGAGAAAATGCCTGCGGCATTAAGTCCACCTTGTGTACACTTTGTGCATGAAGCGTTAATAAATAAATAAATAAATAAATAAAATAAAATAAAATAAAACGAAATTAAATAAAAAATAACAACTACCACGGACTCTTTCTTGCTCGTTCTTCTCCATAGGAATCTACACCTTGGAATGAGCAAATAACTTCACTTTTAAATTTCTATTGCTGACGTTCAAAAGTGCCTTCCTAGTCTAAATAAATGATTTTTAACTTTTGACTTTTGACTTTTTGACTTATTTTACACACCCTAATTATTATAACCGCATGTTGGCAACCGCTGTCTCATGGAAACGTAGGAAACCAAAGCGACGCTACCAGTACTTTAGAAGTATAGCCTTATGTACACGTGGCGCCCTCCCACGTGCCTCACACGTATTTGTTTGTATAAACATGTGTGTAGGGGTGGGTAGACTACCTGAGTAGCCTAGGAAAATAAGGGTTTCACCTCTGAATGTAAGATAGTCGGGTAAGAACTTGTGAGATAGTCGGCCAAAATCTTTATTTGTACAACTTAGAACTTGTCTGAAAACCTACGCACCGATGATGGAAATTAGACGTATAATGTATAAAAACGAAATGTAGACCAAATATCATCATCATCATCATCAACAGCCTATAAATGAGCAAAGCCTCTTCTCACACAGAGAAGGTTAGAGCATTAATCACCACGCTTGCTCAATGCGGGTTGGCGATTTCAAACTTATAATTAGCAATTATAAGTTCAGGTTTCCTCACGATGTTTTTCCTTCACCGTTTGTCAGTGGTGTCTAAATAATCTTAGAAAGTACATATAATTTGGAAAAAGTCACATTGGTACTTGCCGTTGGTAGGTTACGAACCCGCACCCTCATGCATGAGAAGTGGGCGTCTTAAACCTCCGGGCCACCACGACGATCAAATATAGACAATTTAATTCTCTACAATACTTACATTATGTATTTTAATTAGAAATATCAGCGTGACGTCACTTCTAGGTACGTTTTATACGTAGAAATGACGTTTTAGCTCCCACTCCTAAACTTTAATTCGTTTTATCTAAGTATTGTTTTTATGTCTGATATTTTTTATTACCTGAAACCTACATGGCCTGGAAAATAATACAAAATCATATTTTTTTGTCTAGCGCACATATTAGTATTTAAATAGTGTTGCGTAGCGTTGTTTATAATAATATAAACTACGGTAATAATAATATTATAGACAAGCATTGTTTCTGGTAGGATGGGTCCAAACGTAAGTTCACCCATGTGTATTGTATAGTAAATAATAGCTATGAGCTATCGTCGAAGTAAAACTTCATTGAACAGTAAATTGTGAGGAGTCTTTTGTCTTATAGTTTATTAATATATGGCACGTGTTTCATTTGATTAAACACAACATAATCATAGTATCAAAATCGGAGACTTGTATGTTTTTTTTATAGCATAAGCCGGTAAACGAGCAGACGGATCACCTGATGGTAAGCAATCGAAGCCGCCCATGGACACTCGAAACACCAAGGCATTACAAGAGCGTTACCGGCGTTTTGGGAATTGGTAATTTGAGAATTGTGGAAAATTCGGGGATTCGGGAGACGGGAACTAGGGAGGGGGATAATTGGCCCTCCGGTAACCTCACTCACACGACGAAACACAACGCAAGCGTTGCTTTACGTCGGTTTTCTGTGAGGCCGTGGTAGCACTCCGGTCGAGCCGGCCCATTCGTGCCGAAGCATGGCTCTCCCACACTTATAATGTCTTTGAATTCAGGTGGCTTTCTCTTGAATCCAACGCCGATCAATCGAAATTGATATTGTGAAATTTCTTACTCTTGAGTTGCAACACTAGCGCCCATTGCATCGGTATTGCATGGATATATAATGAACGAAATGGTATTGAGTTTGGCTTTATATTCTGTACTCCGAATGATACTATCTTGACAGCTTCGATTGGGGTTTTTTTTAAGGGGGGAAAACCATCGAATGACTCCTCCCGCCTTGGTGAGGCGGGAGGGAGTGTCAGACTCTTACTGACTAAAAACCACCCCGTTCCTTCTCCTGCACGTCGAGCCGGAGCCCCGGTTACCCGTTAGGTTCTCCGCGACAGCTTCGATTGGGGTTGTTTAGTGTTAACATTGAATTATTATTGAGATTTTATTGGATTGAAATTGCATTGACGAGATTGATTTCAAACGTAAGCACCCTGATCATTCATAATCACCATTGTCATCATATCATCTCCAAGATGTCCATTACTGAATATTCTCAATGACTTTGAAAAATTTGAACCTGCCTGCATCCAGCTCCAGTTTAATGATATCTTGTATGAACAACGGGCAAGGTGTCTCGGATTCGATTCCCGAGTCGGGCAAAGTATTACTAGGTTTTTTTAATCTTAGTAGTAGCACGGAGTTTGGAATTGTGCCCGGTATATGGCAATAGGCTCACTCCCTATTACATGAGACTCGTAATATAAATAGTTAATTGTGGGTGTTACATTGTACAGTGGCATTAAGTGCTGTAATGCGCACCTCTGCCTACCTCCGGGGATAAAAGGTGTAGCGTCATGTGTGAACAACGTAAAAAAATAAAAAATAGCATCTGTAAAATTTCATATCGTTGAGAAACAAACTTTCTATCTATACATATAATCTATCTATACATATAATAAAATCGTAGAACCGCATAATCTACAATCGATACTGAAACCAAAAACATAGTTTTTAGAAGTTTTGTCCGTTTGTCTGTATGTATGTCCGGGCGAAACTCAAAAAGTACTGCATAGATTTACATAAAATTTTGCATGAATATTACAAACAGGTCAGATCAACATAAAATCACGCTATCATCTACGTGAGAGGAGCTGTGAAGGAATAACTATCGCCTGAATCATATGAATAAGCCTAATAATCGGGATATATATTTTTCTTTTCTTTAAAAACGCTCGCGCACACTAATGAGTTCTGAAATATCCAAAATGATAACACAGGATTCTTATACAGGGTGTAAACGGTACGCTCCCAAAACGATTACAAAATAAAGTGATTTTACAATTTTAATCGTTTGTGTTATTCATACATCAGCCTTGAGCAGTTGATTACAACTATTATTAAATAAAAGAAACATTTAATTCCTTACTTTTATGAAAATATAACTTGTTTTTAACACCATCTATCGTCGTTTTTCGGGAACTTTCCGTTTACACCATGTGCCTTTAGCCAAACGCCACTTTAGCGCTTGTCTACAGAAAGAGTAGAAATCAAAATGTGACTGACAAGACACTGACTAGTGTCAAAATTTACGTCAATTCCATATAATTTGGTTTTCTATTCTACATGTAGACAAGCGTCTAAATGGCATTTGGCTACAGGTGATGTATAGACAAAACTAACTTTCTACTTATAAATTGAAATATCATGTATAAATATAATATATAAATATAATTTATAAATATTTTTTTTTGTTCCAGGCACACAGGCCTTCTACCACTTATAAGGGACGAGTTCGTGACTGGTGTAGGCGTCAATATCAATCTAGCATAATTATATAATATCTAGACAAATGATAAACCTAGATTATTCTAGTCACAATTAATAAATCGAATTAATTTTAGTAAATTAGTTTTTAATTGTAACTCTTAATTTGTACCTGCTTTGTAAGAAATTATACGTATATTATATTATATATTATAATGATAATTATGTATAATATTTATTATAAGTATAAAAATGAAAGAAAAATGGAAACGAAAGCCGAATACTCAAATGAATGTCGAATGTTTTTTAAATTTACAATTAGGTACTTCAAATTTTATTTTTGCTCCATTAGTAACGATAAAATAAAAAAAATGTGGTTGAATATTGGCTTAATCACCAGCAGATGTAGCTAAATGCCACTTACCGCTTGTCTACATGTAGAATAGAAAACCAAATTATATGGAATTGACGTAAATTTTGACACTTGTCAGTGTCATTCCCATACATTTAGTTGTCTACTCTCTCTGTAGACAAGCGCTAAAGTGGCATTTGGCTAAAGGCACAGAATAGACAGCATGATATAGAGTTTTTCGAAACTTAGTATTAGTCTATAACAATGTCTTTAAGGAAATGAGAATAGTACTGAGACTACCAACTTCTACCAACGTTAGAAAGAACAAATAATTTTATGAATGAACACAACAGAATTCGAAACTAATTAAATAAATTCGCTCACTGAAAAAGGATATATGGATGTGATTATTTTTATTTTCCTAACTATGCTTTGTAATATAACACCTATTTTGTCGAAAATAACGTACGAATTATTCTTTACTCTATGCCTTACAACTGGGTACTTTCCTTAATCAAAAATAAATTATTTCAACTGTTCAATACAATAAAATATTAAAAAATAATCACACTTTCATTGATTGATGTTATGACGACTTTAATTTTATTATTATTACAACAAATTTATAAGAAATAACTATGCTGTTTGGCGCTAAAAAAACGTGACGTCACAATACACAATCTCGTACAAAATTCATAGACAACTGTCGTATTTAACAGTTTGAAAAAAGTATTGAATTTGAATAGTTGGTAAGTACCCAATTCTGTATTTTTTATCTGTGATGAAATACCGCCAATAGGAGACAGGTAAGTTTGACAATTTAGCAAAAAAATCTTCATGATTTGAAAATAGAGTTAAACTAACTTGTAAGTATACTGAAGTAACTGCGCAATGTTTTTTAATTTTTCATTTACGTATCTTCGAATTCCGATGTGATTGTTTCGATATTGTTTTTTTGTCTGTAGTATGAATTTGTATTAGATTTTAATTATTATTATTACTTACTTACTTTAAGACAATATTATGCGATACAGAAATTGAAAGTTAAACTTGATCAGAATTTATGAGTGACAATTTTGTATTTTATGGTTATGATCATCGACTTCGTATAGGTATTTATATCTGATACTAATGCTAATGACTTTGCAGAGTTTGCAGTATAATAATATGGAAAACCAAAAAGTTTTGAAATAATAATAAGATAATCACAAATAACTACGAGTAACACTGTCAGTTGATACACAGGCGTTATTACGAGTTTCTTTTATGCCTAAAGTAATCGAAACGAGAACGCGTTCGGCGCTGTGATTGGCCGGTGCCAATGAACAAACCAATCAGATCTCGGGACGCGTACTCGTTACGATTACTTTAAACGTAAAACAAGCTCGTACTAAGGCCTCAGGTTAGCTGAAGAAATCATTTTTGAACCTGGCAATCAAAACGAAATCTTCAAAATACTATGACGATTTAGAAATAATTATCTTTGAAGAAAAAAAGAATTTCCATTACCTGCGATGTTTTTCGTTGTAGGCCTACAAAACACTGATCAGAAAGTACTTTAAATTTATGGAGGAATCGAGAAAATGAACCACATGGAGAAGTCTTTAGAGTCTTTTTTGATCAGGAATTGCGACTTAAAAACCCCATAACGTAGGCTTTTAGATATTAATTAACGGACCACTGTGTATTTAATATCCTATGCCTTGTAGGGGAGTATTGTATATAGAGAATATATCACTATATTTAGCAGTAAGCCAAATTTTAGCAGACGATAATATATTAATAAAATATATTTCAGAATATATTATGAAACGTTTTAAATACTTTGGACATCGGTTTTAGATCAAATTACACTTTGTCAAACACACAATTATACTAAACAATAGACACACACACAGACACACATATATCTGTCATAAATTGTTCCACCTGTCAGTGCATGAACTCGACTCATGAGTATCTAGAAGTGTGAAATAAATTACGAAAAAAGGCGCGAAAGGTCAACATAAATCATACGAGTGGACATTAGAAAAAAATAAAATTGAATGCGGAATGACCACTCATTTTGGACTCGCGTCTTTTTGGACATAAATGGAATATTTTTTTAAATAAATGGTTTCAAAAAAACCACAAGTTTACAAATTGTTTTGGTAAAAATATAGTTTGAAATGAAACCGATTTATAAATAATACGATGTTTTATATTATTAATAATACATAATACATAGTTAATATATCACAATATCGAATAATAGAAAAACTGATTCAGCACATTGCACATGGTTTAAAAATTCTTTCGTCAAAATACAGATTTAAAATTTTAAAAAAATATGTCGGGCACAGAATAAAAACCATTTTTAAGGCACATATTTTTACCAATAGAAAATATTGAGATTAATAATTGTATTAAAAGATTATTATTATTATACTATTATTAAGAGAGTAGATCTTATTAAATAACAATAAAAAGTTCCAAATAATTTGCTTTGTGGAATCAATGTAAAATAGCTCGTGAATTGCGAATTCTAAATGATATTTAGTGGAAGTTTAAAATTAGAATTTTAATGTTAAATTGTAGAAAATAAATATATATTAATAAATGTATTTTTAAGAAATTAACGACCACTTGTATGACAATTCATTCTATGTACACAGTGTGGAATATTTCATGATTTGTTTTGGAGCGATAAATTAATAAATGTGTAAATTTTCTGTAGTAAAAAAATCACTGAATTGTATACAAAGTGAGTCTATAAAATTAATTAGACATTAAAAAACGAACGATAAAAGCGACGTCCACATGCAGTTCAAAATGTAACGAATATAAATCATAAGTTCCGAACGAAATATTTGAAAATGACTGACATAAAAGAAATTCGTATAATAAAAATAAACTACAATTTATAGAGCTTCAATAGCAAGAAGATACAAGTGTCATTTTCAAATATAAAAATAATTTGTGTAAAATTAATACTTTAAATTAAATGAGTGTCAAATAATATATAAAAATAAGCTAAAACTTAACGTACCTAAGCTTAAATTATAAGTAAATTAATAAAATAATGGAGTATTATAAATTAAATGTAAATATTTATAATAATGTTTAATCGCTTAAATATCTCGTCTGTGTTTTGTGATATATAGGTACCTAGTTAGAAAATTCACGACTCTGCAGAATGGTGTTATTTGGATATATTTATTATTTTTTAAATTGTGCTATTTGCTACGATTTGTTAGAAAAAAATGCTACCGATTTCATTGTAAGATTGTGTTTCTATTTAAACAAATTATTAAAACAAAAATGTAGTTATTGAATTAATAGATAATAGAAAATATGTGCTAAAATGGAATTTTGTTTCAAGAAATGTAATTTATTTAAAAAATTTGGTAATCATAGCATTGCATTCGATTTTTAAACTAACGCTATGAAACATGTGTTAATTTAATTTGAAATAAGAATATTGACTTTTTTATTTTTAATTGTTTTGTGTTAAAAGCAATGCGATGTTTGTTTGTTTTCAATCAAATTGTTTATGATTGTCGTGATTGTTTGTGTTTTATGTTAATGTTGAGTGGGAGCGAGGCTTTTATGACGGAACAATACTAACACCAATTAATCTTAGCAATCAATATTTGTTTATTCATTTATTTTCAAGAAAAAATGATGATGGCTTTTGGACCAACAACTTCTATACTTAAAAATGGTCATGTTAATGTTACTCTTTTTTAAGGGGGGAAATTATTCTTTGACACCTCCCACCTTGGGTGAGACGAGAGGAGTGTCAGTCTCTCGCTGACTAATAACTACTCCGTTTCAACTCCTACTTTAAGCTAGAGCCCCAGATAAATTAATTCCTATATTTCATTTTAGTCCTAACTTTACAACTACACAAATAGTTTAGTTTCGTTATAAAAGTCCGCCTCCACTATTTAATACCAAATATTCGTTTACCAGTGTGCACAGAACATGATTGAGTAGAAATAAATATGATCATAGACTATTGTGTTTTATTTTACTACTATTTGACAAGATGGCGACATGAATGAAACCTTTATGTGCGACTAAAATTGCACTCATGTGTGTGTTTTTTTATGGCATAAGCCGGTAAACGAGCAGACGGATCACCTGATGATAAGCAATCGGCGTCGCCCATGGACACCTGGAACACCAGAGGCGTTACAAGTGCGTTACCGACCTTTTGGGATTAGGAATTTGAGAATTGTTGTGGATTCAGGGATTGGGGAAGGGGGGGGGGGGTAATTAGGCATCCGGTAACCTCACTCACACCACGAAACACAACATAACGTTGTTCTTTTGTGAGGCCGTGGTATCGCTCCGGTCGAGCCGGCCCATTCATGCCGAAGCATGGCTCTCCCACACTATTTATTTATTATATATAGGATAGAAAGATTGATCGTCAAATAGTAATGAAAACAGAAAGAAAAACAAACTGATCGTTACCATGGTAACCACGAAATATAGCTACAGTATGTCCCTGAAGTAAAATTTTATCACCATTGAGAATTGTTTTTGATATCTATGGAAGAAAAATATTGGAAATAGAGAAATCAGTTATTATATAACACCCTCTATGATCACGCAGAAGAGCCTGAGACAACAAACAATATATAGTATACAGATGGACCTACTGGGATCGATTCCCATCGAGGAAAACTTAGTTCTTTTATTACTTTAACTGAGAATTCGAAAATCA